TTATTGTACCTTATAAAGTCGATATATTTGATTTAATATCATATATACAAATATGAAATTTTGGAGCTCGATAGTCATATATTGTCGTACAAAGGCATTGAAAACTGTTCATTGTCTTGTCACATAAGGCCACAAGGTTGCGCTGAACTCAGTATCCCGTGTGACCGCCCCGGGCAGCAATCACGGCTCTGCATCTCCTCCGCACTGACTGGATAAGTGTACGAATTCTATCCTGCGGAATTCTGCGGAATTCTGCGGAATTCTGCGCCATTCTGCTTGTAACGCGTTGGCCAGTTGTGGGATTGTCTGCGGCGTGTTCTGACCTTGACGTACACGTCGATCGAGTTCATCCGAGAGGTGTTCGATTGGGTTGGAGATCTCGATAGCCAGGAAAAGCCGTTGATGGTGGCATCATTAAGGTAGTCTACCTTGACACGAGCTGTGTGCAGTGGAGCGTTGTCCTGTTAAAACAGCTTCCTCTGGCGGTCAATCATTGGAAGAAGGTGAGGTTGAAAAATTTGATTCATGTAGCGATTTGCTGTCAAATTTCCCTGAACCACAACCAAGTCAGATCTCGTGGTGAAGGATATGACCCCCCCCCCCCCCCCACACACACACACTTTGACACCACCACCACCGAAATTGTCGAATTCACGTACACAATGTGGGGCAAAACGCTTATTTCGACGACGATAAACATGTGGTCTTCCATCTCGCCGGTGAAGAAGAAATTGCTATTTATCGCTAAACCACACTCGTCTCCAGTTTCTCAAATTCCAAGGTTGTAAGGTATGGCACCAACGCAAGCGTCGCTGTCGATGCATCTCTTGCAAAACAGGGATGACAACTGTTCTTCTGGGTCGGATTCCAGCCTCGCGATGATGGTTCCCGACAGACTGGTCCGACAGCCTCCTCAAACCAGGGATGCGCCATTGCGATGACGTAGGTGGAACAGTCGAACGTAACGATCCTGTGCAAGGGTGGTAACTCTTGGTCGGCCGGTTCTAGGACGGTCTGCAGTGGAATTGAACTGTGTGTATCGGTCATAAAGGCGGCAAATTGTGCTCTGGTGGACGTTGAAGTGGCGTGCAACAGAAGACTGCGATTCCCTTCTTTGGATACGTCCTTTGGCGATGTTCCGATCAGCAGCGCTGAGTCTCGGCATTTTCGAACTTGAAAAATGTTGACAATTGAATGACAAATTAGTGGCTTATGCTTCCCTTTTTATAGCCACTACCACGAGTTGCGAATACCATAACTTGCACGTGCATTTTGCTTTACTGTTTTCCTCCATGACATTTTTAAACAAGTGTGAAAACAAGCCGTTTAAGACATTGCAAATCGACAATGGTTGCGTTTTGTCGCACCGTTTGTCGAATATCAGACCACCACCATTTTCCAATAAACATATATCCAGTTTATATACCGGATTGTTTGTGTAGTCAGGTTCAAGAAACTACATACTACCCGCCTTCATTGTTTTTAAGAGTGTATATTAAACTAACAAAGAAGTAATATTCAGACAACTTCAAGGTATAAATCCGGCACAAATAACATTTTCCATCTTATCGTTTAATAACATTTCAACGTCGGGTAGAACTGAACGAGTGAGTGAGTGAGTATAGTTTTACGCCGCTTTTAGCAATACTCCAGCAATATCACAGCGGGGGGACACCAGAAATGGGCTTCACACATTGTACCCGTTCCGGGAATCGAACCCGGGTCGTCGGCGTGACAAGGGAACGCTTTAACCACTAGGCTACCCGACCGCTCCGCTTGTGTAGAGTGTTGAACAATTTAATGCTTTTCTGATGTACATATACTCTGTAGATATACGGGTTAGAATTATTCTTCAGCAGCCCATGCTTGTCATAAAAAGGCGACTAATGGGATCGAGTGGTCACACATCTGAGGATTGATTGGTTGGTTGGTTTTTTGTTTAACGCTGCACTCAGCAATATTCCAGCTACATGACGGCGGTTTGTAAATAATCGAGTCTGGACCAGACAACCCAGTGATTAATATCATGAGCATCGATCCACGCAATTGGGATTGATGACATGCATCAACCAAGTCGGCGAGCCTAACCACCCGATTCCGTTAGTCGCCTTTTACAAGTATAGTCACCTTTTACGGCAAGCATGGGTTGCTGAAGACCTATTCTACCCCAAAATCATCACGGGTCCACACACACACATGTGAGGAATCGACCCGGGCTTTGAGCGTGACGAGCGAATATTTTCACCACTTGGCTGCACCATCGCCCCAGAAATCACAAAGCTAAACCCTATTGCGTTATGACGAATTTGTTTGTTTGATTGTTGTTTGACGTCCCCTCAGCAGTATTCCAGCAGCCTATGCCGGCCGTCAGAGGCGACCAAATGGTTCGAGTGGTCAGGCTCGCTGACTTGCATGCCATCGTATTCCCTGTCGTGATATTGCTGGAATATTGCTAAAAGCGGCGTAAAACTATACTCACCCACTTTGTGATTTTTTTACTCACAACTATGGTTTATCAATACCGTACCTTCAGCCTGAGATTCTTCAATATAGCTATATAAATATAAATAAAGCGACAAAACCCTTTCCATATCCAATAATAATCGCTGTAAAAAGCAGAGTCGATTGTACGATTCCGACTATGTCAGGATCATGTGTTTATGAACCACTATCAAATAGGTGTTGGCGAAAAGGTGAGCGGATCCTGCCCCACCGGTGGCACCCGTCACAAACGCATGCAAAGGCAAGTCAAGTGTTCACTTTTACGCCGCTTTTAGCAATATTCCAGCAATATCACGGCGGGGGACACCAGAAATGGGCTTCACACATTGTACCCATGTCGGGAATCGAACCCGGGTCTTCGGCGTGACGAGCGAACGCTTTAACCACTAGGCTACCCGACCGCCCCAGAAAACACGGGAACAGATGGTGAGTCAAAATAGGGAATGGCATCGGACCTCATTTTTGTCACTGAAGCGTCAAATTTGTAAAAAGAATTTAGAATAAAGCGCAGCTTAAGGACATTTTTGTAACAATATAAACCATAGTCTAGGCTCGGGCTTTCTTGTAATAGGATGCGATTAACGGAATCGTTTGGTGAGGTTCGGTGACTTGGTTAAGGCATGTCATCGTATCCCAGTATGTACATCGATGGTCTTGGGGTCAATCACTGGATTGTCCGGTCCAGACTCGATTCGTTACAGACCGCTGTAATATGGCTGGAAAAAACCCATGAATTTAGACTTTGTCATCAATATAACCGATAGTTTAAGCCTGGGACTCAACAACAAAAAACATAGTTTCAAGACGTTTTCTTTATCAATATAAGCCATAGTTTAAGCCAGGGATGCGTTATGATAGATTAGGGTTTCGTTTTGTCATTTAATAATAAATACCATGAATATAGGACTTTTGTTTTTTCAATATCAACCATAGTTTAAGCCAGGGATACATATTGATAGATTAGGGTTTCGTTTTGTGATTTACCAATATAGACCATGAATATAGGACAATTTTTTATCAATATAAACTAAAGTTTAGGCCGGGGACGCATCCTTATAGAGAAGGGTTTAGTTTTGTTGTCCTACCGGGCAGGCCATGCTTAGCCAATAGAGTCTGTTTTGACGAATAATTGAGACTGGTTATTCTCTTGCTTTGACGTTTTATATTTAGAACGTTTTTATACAGACTGAGTATAAATCATGGTTAACATTTAGTGCTGTTTTTTTAACTGCAATAATAAATAAAGCGACAAAACCGTTTTCATTTCCAATAGAAATCTCTGCATAAAGCAGAGTTGATTGTACGATCCCGATCAGCATGTGTTTATGAATCACTATCAAATAGTGATGATACCATGTGTTCGCGAAAAGATGAGCGTATACCCATAGTTTAGGCCTTGATTCATCAATATAGATGAGGGTTTAGTGTTGTGAATTATCAGTACAAATAATGGTATAAGGACTTACTAAAAAAAAAAATGGGTTGAGCCTTTAATTATAATTATATTTTGCGGGTAGACCTAGCTGATGAAAAGTGACATTTTTTCTAAATTCTTATTCACTGAGTAAAGCAGTCTTATGAGCGAACGAGTATTCGTCTTCTAGAAATAATAGCCACGTTTAAAAGTCAGTACTTTAATATGAACTGCCCATGGAAATCCTATAGCCATCGATGTGAAAAAATAACAGTTTCTTATGAGTAGGACATCGTTGACATTAGTAGGATCCATGTGGTGACAAGAAGCGTTTGCAGGTTCGTTAGCGACATTTAGGTAGAAGAGATATAGGTAAATATTCATACATACTTTTTTATAAATAGACAACGACGCGAAAATAGTTTACAAGGCAAAACCTTGTCAGTCCGGACACTTTTTATTCGGAACCCGCCTTGCTTTCGAAACTGTTGGGTACGTCTCATCATTATGACACGGACGTCACTAATCCAGAAATGTGCTAATCCTGGCGATTACTAATCCAGACTTTACTGTGGAGAGCAATCGCCCGGATTAACGAGATATTTATATTTGTTATAATTAGGCAGTTGCTGAGTGACAGAAAAAATATATTTTTTTCAAGATTATTACCGTGAAGTATTCTTTTTGACGGCACAAAACACATTTGAAAACTAACACTGTTCCAAGATTTACGTGACAATAATACCTAGCTATGATCTCCGAGGATGTCATGCGCTGTTTCAACAGACGAGTAACCAATATCCAACTCAAAATTTATAGACAGAGCTATCTTAAACGCAACTTGACGCGGTAAAGGATTTTATATTATTGCGTAATGTCCTACATTAACACGTAAGGAAAACGTTACTACATTAGAACTCGTTTCCCTGATCGTCCTGGAAGCTGGAGCATATTGCCTCCCGATTTAGATCCAAGTTCCATCTCAACGTGGGAAGGCTTACCTCGGAGTCCGCACGCTCAAATCAGTACAGATCACGTGATCAAATGGGCGGGGCAAGCCTTCCTACTGAATAGAAATGTCGGGGGTGGCATCTTCGACGTCAAAATAGGGCACCCGGATTGTTAAGTAAGCTGACCCTCACGGCCGAGGTTGCTCTGGCGTGTTTCCTCGACTCCCACAGCTGGTGTGGTATTATTGAATTGGCGTGCATTATTGATGTGTCGCTGTGCCATATAAAGAGCTCGTTCTATACTCTCGTCCACTGACAACAGGCAAGGAGAAGGCACAACTTGTAAGGGGTGGGAATACTGAGATCACAGCGGACCAGCACAGGGACCACAGGCAACATGACTAACCTCTCTGTAGCACTTCTCGTCATCGTAGTGTCCATTCAAGGTAGGATCTTTTCTTTTGGCACACCTGTAACGAAAGTGCAAACATAATTTCTAGTCGCTTAACATTGCTACCCGTTGCAAACATGTAATATGTGGAGACTTGGTTTAACTGAATGATTGTACGGTTAACTAACTTCAAGTTATAGTGGCGAATGTTTTTCATATTTTTGGCACATCTGTCATGTTTCGCCGCTGTAACAAATATAGAAACATATGTCTTCTCACTTACCATTGCTACTCGTTAGATAGCCACACCTGCCACATTTTGTCGTTGTAACGAAAGTGCAAACATAATTTCTAGTCACTTAACATTGCTACCCGTTGCATACATGTAATATGTGTAGACTTGGTTTAACTGAAAGATTGTACGCATAACTAACTTAAGTTATAGTGGCGAATGTATTTCATATTTTTGGCACATCTGTCATGTTTCGCCGCTGTAACAAATATAGGAACATTATGTCTTCTCACTTACCATTGCTACTCGTTAGATAAATGTAATATAGTGTACGGATAATTAGCTACAAGTTATAATGGTGAAATATTTTCATACTTTTGCCGTTGTGACGAATGTACAAACATTATCAATTAAAAGTTTTAATGATGAAATATTTGTATATATTTCGCACACCTGTTACCTTTTGATGTTTGACGAATGTACAAACATGTTTTTTCTCACTTAATATTGCCACCCTTTGGATTTATGCAATATATGTAACTGCCTTGCTTTCACGGAGAAGATTGTACGGAGAATTAACTTCAGGTTATTATGGCGAAATATTTTCATATATTTCGCATACCTGTTACATTTTGCAGTTTGACGAATGTACAAACATGTTTTTTCTCACTTAACATTGCCACCCTTTGGATTTATGCAATATATGTAACTGCCTTGTTTTAACGGAGAAGAGCGCACGGATTATTAACTTCAAGTTATTATGGTGAAATATTGTCATACTGTTGTCAGATTTTGCCGTTGTGACGAATGTACAAACATGATCAACTAGAAGTTTTAATGATGAAATATTTTCATATGTTTGGCACACCCGTGTACCTGAATGAATGTATAAACGTGACCTTTTCTGCTACTCCCTACACAGATGTAATCTCTCTATCAATGTAACTATATATAACAAATAAGAAGGTAGATGATAACCTTCGACTTTCTTGATTATAACTGGAGATTATCTATATCTAAACCAGAAAGTCGTTACATGCATAGTAAAAAAATTGAACATCAACACTGTGGCTGATTCGTAACTAAACTTCTAAATGCCATTGAAAGACTTCTCATTTGAGTTGATCCTAAGCTCCGGCATCGCCTGTACAAGGGAAACACGTTAATATTTATGTATATACCTATTCCTTGTCAAATATTATTCAGAATTATGTAAGCTGTTGTGAATATGTTTTATTATAAGCACAGTGCTTGAATCTCTCGATGAATCATTATAAGGTGCTTGATCCGGGGGATGCCACGTACTGATAACGGTGAGCATCCCGTTTAATCCTAGGTGTAGACCCTTATCCCATGGGCTTGACGTGCCAGTGTTAATATATATGTCTTTTACTTAAGACACAGCAATACCTGTACTATCAATCAATACGTCTCCATGAATACAGGTAGGTGCGTATTGTGTCGGAATATCTAAGCTAGAATTCTCGTTTACTTATAAACAGTCGGAATCGTACAACGTACTTTGTTTTCAGCAGGGATTTCTTCTTCTTCTTCTTCTTCTTCTTCTTCTTTATCTTCTTCTATGGTTATGGAGATGGTTGTTGTCGCTTTTTTATATACATTGTATTACCTGTACGAGATATATCGGCTATGCTAGTAAAACATGTACCGATATCCATATTCACATTAAACTATTGATGCTTTGCTGCTCAGAAATATGATCTAATTTGAACGGGCATAGAATATTCGATAAATTCAGTACAATGGAACATCTTTAATTCTGAAGATACTGGCAATAACTGATTTCTGGACTAATGAATCCTGGCCTTGAACAATATGTCTTGAGTAATATAAATAAACTCGACAAAACCATTTCCATATTCATATGAAATCTCCGCCAAAATATTTCCTTGATATTTAAATATCGCTTAAGTCGACGTAATGCTATGGTCCCGGTAGAATCATTAACGGTACTTTGTATAATATCTGTACTCCGCATGTCTGGAACAGCGGATAACTCGATAACTCTTTTTGTCTCCAGGGCTGCGAGTTTGCGCTCGAGAGAGATATGCTAATTAATGATAAAAGCGACAAAACCGTCCCCATAATCATACTGAATCTCTGTACGATTCCGACTATATCATAAGCATGTGTCAACGAATCATTATAAACAAGTGATGACAACGGGTATCCGCAAAAAGTGTGCGTATCCTGCACCATCGGTGGAACCCGCCACAAACACACGCACAGGCAAGTCAATTGTTCACCCAACCACACACGGGAACATTCATAAAGTAGAAATAGGGAATCGCATCAGACATAGGTTTGATCACTGATGCGTGAAACATTGAAATGTCGCCTACATATCTGCTACAAAACTCTCCGCAAACTCCACCGATGCCTTGAATAATGTTACCCCGATCAAACAAACCTGAGACATATGATGCTGTCTGAAATATCGCCAGAAAGAGATTAACACATCAATATATCATTGAAGCGCAATGATTATGTTACCAGATCTGTCAGCACCATACTCGTGCTAGTGGGTTTTACTGAAATGCTGCCCAAAGCAGTGTTAATTCTGTTACATTCTCTCTTATTATATTCTCATATGTATATTTATATGATTTGTTCGTGTGTTGCTTAAGCCGCACTCAGCAATTGGTTTTATGTTGATCAATCCCAGGCTTAAACTACAGTAGACTTCGGTTAAAACGAATACGCTTATAACGAACTGACGGATATAACGAACTTACTTGACTATTTGCTGTTGTTAAGCTATATATATGCTTATAACGAACTGCGGTTATAACGAACATTAGTAGTCCCTTTGAGTTCGTTATAACCGTAGTTTACTGTACTGGTTATATTGTAACAACGTCTAAATCCATGGTTATTCCAGACAGTGGACTGTAAATAATCGAATGTAGACCAGACAATCCAGTGATTGACATCACGAGCATCGATCTACGCAATTGGGATCAATGACATAAATCAGTCATGTCAGCGAGTCTGACCACTCGATCCCATTAGTCGCTTTTTATGACAAGCATGGACTGCTGAAGAATAATTCTAACCCGTATATCTACAGAGTATATGTACATGAGAAATGGATTAAATTGTTCAACACGCTACACAAGCGGGACGGTCGGGTAGCCTGGTGGTTAAAGCGTTCGTTGTCACGACGAAGACCCTGGTTCGATTCCCGACATGGGTACAATGTGTGAAGCCCATTTCTGGTGTCCCCCGCCGTGATATTGCTGGAATATTGCTAAAAGCGGCGTAAAACCATACTCACTCACTCATGGTCGTCACTCTTATCAGTGGCTCTACAGTAACGTATAACATTACTCAAACAGACAGTATAGTGGCAACATGTCATCGCAGACATTTCCTGTCATACAATTTTAATTAAAAAACAAAACAATTTAAAATCAAAATTGTTTTACTATCATTTCGAGTTTCAAGTCCAGCTGCTCTGAGACAATTGTGGGTTAAACAAACGCTCTGACGCACTACGCTGCGCAGCAGTGTTGTAGAGCTACGATAGCGCTGACCGGACTCGAGGCGCTCTCTCGATGAATCATTATAAACAACGTAGCTTATCAATCAATCTGATCTGGAGGATCGACGCCTACATGAATATACACATATAGCTCAGAAACATTTCTGAAGGTCCACGATAGAATGCACCACTGTATATTAGTCTGTTAGAGATATTCGATCAATTAATTACTGTATTCAACGTAACTAGGCCCCGTCTTCCGAACAATTATTGTTGGGGACTACTTATCGTAAGGGACATAAATTTCTAACCGGACATTCGTTAATCCGGACGATTTAACTTGGAACGGTGCCGTCCGGATGAACGAGGTTTCGCTGACAATACACATGTTAGCCGTATAAAGGACACATTTCTTTAGGATAAGCTTCTGAATAATAGTTACTATGTTTGTCATGCGTTTTACACGAGATACGACAGTGACATATTGAAAAGTAAATACATATTTTGGGATTTGTGCCATTTTTTTTATATTCTAATTTTCAGGAATATATGAAACCTTTTTCCTATTTTTTAAGTGCAACTTTTCCCGTGATTCAATTTGAAAGCACATACTAGCGATATGAACCACAGGGTAAAAGAAATTAAACACATATGTTTGTGTAATGGTGGCTATAAATGAGTGATTGCGTGAGTGAGTATGGTTTTACGCCGCTTTTAGCAATATTCCACCAATATCACGGCGGGGGACACCAGAAATGGGCTTCACACATTGTACCCACGTCGGGAATCGAACCTGGGTCTTCGGCGTGACGAGCGAACGCTTTAACCACTAGGCTACCGACCGGTGCATCCCCTATTGGCCTACGTCCAATTTGGCCTACGTCCCAAATGGCCTAAAGAAACAGAAATGACCTTTCCCATTTGGCCTACCACAGATTATTTTAAACAACCTACACCCCTATTTACAAAAATGGTTTGGTTTGAGCTTAATTAGCTCTTGTTATTTCACACAGGCTTCTTCAGCATGTTCAGTCACAGAGAGGTGGTCTTCCGGAAACAATACAAATAGACTTTGAATGTTCAGGACGTATGGTTCGAAGCTATTGAGGCTTTAGAACAGGCTGAGGTTGAGAGTCCTGCATTTCAACTGTTCAATGATTATGTCGTGTCAAACTGGGTTGGGGATGATGCTAGATTTGGTGTTGAAATCTGGAGTCTCCATGACAATGTTGGTCCAAGAACTAATAATCATCTGGAAGGTTGGCACAGCCACTTGAATGCCAAGATGAACTCTGCCCATCCAACAATGTTCAGCTTC